TTTTTTATACGAAAGGGGGAAGCTTCTCACTATTTAGAAAAAAAGGGGAGATTGCAGGATTCATACTTCAGGGATAGAAATGTTCCAACTTCTCCTTGCCTTTTGTCCCAAGAAAAAGCTGATAAAAGCCCCACCACCACATTAACCCATAAACGGTCCAAACGTATGTATAAGTTTTTACCGCTAGTGCCCCAAATGTATATATACGTTTTATGTGTCATACATTTAACATTGCCACGATAAGCCTGAGTCGCCTAGACATGTGAGAATGGGTGTGAGCACTCACTGTGCGCCATATTAAAATAATTGGGGATGCCTGGGTACCATATGCTCATTTTTCCTATTAAAAAACAACAATTTTTTTTTCTCAAAAAAGTTGGGGCAGTACGGTAGTGAACGTATATATACATTTGGACCGTTTACAGGTTAAGGTAACTCAAGTGTTGGGCATCAACCAGGACACTGACCGAAAACTGAGAAAAAAATGTTTCTTCACAGACAAGAGTGGACTGCTAGAATGGGTATCCAGGTTTTACCTGGAGTTTACCTGGAGAGAGTTCCGGCGGTCAACGCCCCCGCGGCCCGGTCTGTGACCAGGCCTGGTGGTGGTATGCACTGCAATCATTAATAACATGAAAAAAAAATAGTATGTAACACACTGAACACTGAAGATGGGACATAAGCATAGTAATGAAAATGCAAATAGGTAATCGAATGGTAAAAGTGTCAGCCTAACTCTTGCCGTCTTAAAGCCTGGTTAGCTCTTTCTCCGAAATTAATTAATTAAAAAAAAAAAAAAGTCCATTTCATCAGTACAAACTATTCAGCTTTAACCCTTTCAGGGTCCAGAGGCCAAATTTCAAAGTGTTGCACCAGGGTCCAAGAATTTAAAAAAAAAAAAAAAAAAATTATTTTTTCTTATGAAATGGTAGAGAATCTTTTTCTGAAAGTAATAAAACAGAAAGTACGAAATTTGATGGAAAATTGACAAAATTACGCTCTCATGAATTTTGATGTGTCGGCGATATTTACGCATCTGCAATTTTGCCGACTTTGACTCCCATTTTAGGCCAATTACATTAATCCAGTTGACCAAATTCTTAGCTATTTCACTAGTATTACTTCTCTTCTATCGATTGAGCACAAGAAATCACCAAGTCAACTGTTTCAACTATAAAATAAAGTGATCGGAAATTGGTAATTTGGCCAATTTAATGCAAAGTTCAAAATATTCCAATTTCAAATCAGGGTCCAGAATAAACAATGTAGGTTTTCCTGGCACTAAACTAACATTTCCTCTGTTCATTAGTTATGTTTCCAGGTTTTACAAATGAATTCCATTTTGATTTTTTATTCACATAATGAATTTTTTTTCAAACTAAAAAATTGAAGATTTACTGTTATGCAATATTGTAAAAATTGTATAAATAATATTACCACATTTGTGAATATATATTAGACCCACCAGCTGGTGTGTATTAGATGTGTGAGGTCATTTGTTTACTCTTGAACATCGGCAAAAATTTAACATTTCCGCTACTTTGAGCTCAGATTCAAGCCATTCTCAGTATTAAAACCAATCAAAATTATCTCTATTTCTGTAATATGTCTTCCATTCTATCAAATGAGACCAAGAAATCGCAAATACAACTATAAAAAACATACGAAAAAACACTGCAATGTCGCTGTTTTAATCGAAAATTACGGTCTCAGTTTTTGTTTGAGAAACAAAAACTGCAGGATTTGTTTTATGTGGTGCACACATACCACATAGATTTATTCTCTCATATCTAGGCCCAAATTTACCACTCACAGCTTATCAGTGAGCTGAGCTCATGGCGTAGTTTTACTGTTTGGACCCTCAACGTAAAGCTGTAGATCTAGGGCACGGACCCTGAAAGGGTTCAACTTGGCTGGGAACTCGGTGGCTCTCCTGGCAAATCTGAGAGTGGCTTCAGGTATCTTAATAGAATCATTCAGGGTGTTTTATACAACACATATCAGGCCTATCTTGGAGCACCAGTATGAAATCCACACCTAAGGAAGCATGTTAAGAAACTGGAGAGAGTGCAGAAGTATGTAAAAGGACTAGTTCCAGAGCTAAGGGGTATTAGCTACTAGGAAAGGCTAAAAGAATTGAATCTGGAGGACAGAAGGACCAGGGAAAACATGATAACATACAAAATACTCAAGAGGAATTGATAGTGCAGACAGGAACAGGTTGTTTTAAAGGCAAGAAACAAGTACTCGGGGCACAGCTGGAGGTTAAGATACAGATTAGTCACAGGAAACATTTCTTCAGTTTTTGAATTACAATATTTCAAGCTTGCAGTCATAGAAAAGAATTTACATTTTTGCAAGTGCCCTCATACAAAAAGTTTCTTTTGCATATGTTTTGTTCCTATTGCACCCCATGCAAGCTACAATGCTCTGCATCATTTATCACACACTGTAAACTGTGCCATAACAAATGCTTTGCACCATTAACACTTGTCTTGTG